TATATATATATATATATATATATATATATATATATATATATACACAGCATATATATACATCATATCGAGATTTTTAGTCAGTAAACAGACCCGGATCTTCTCAAACACCCCCGCATGGCTCCCGTTGGACTATCCCGCATCTAACAAGGTGTCATATGATTAAATCGGCCAATCACAGGCCTTACCAAGCTTCCAATACACACACATTATCAGGAATTTATATTTTGAGTGACAGATATGACAGCTCAAAACTGCTCAAATTAATCCAAATGGTGCCAAACTGCTTTATTAGGATTATTGAACACTCTTAGTGATAAGACAAGTGAATATATAGTTAATATTTAGTTATATAGTATATAAAATTAGAATACAGCAGCGCAACTGCTGGTTCCAAAAATGAGAATTTTGCTTGCCTTTGCTTGGTTTGCCTGCTTCACTCAATCGAAGTCAAATTTGTTTTAGCGACTGTAAAATTTGTTGTCCTATGACTGTGGCTATGCCATTGACATTTTTAGGCATTATTTCAAGTAATATTTTAGACACAAGTGCTTTTTTTTCAGGCGAACCTGAAACTTTTTCAATTTGAGCTGTGCCATATGTGTATATGTTATTAACCAGTAACATATACACAACATTTACACTTATCAGCACATCTCACAAGTGTTACCTGTATTATACAATCAAAATGATTAAAATAGACCTTGTAGTTGCAGAAATACACTCTCTTTAGTATGGCTATGCAATTTTCGAGCAGAGGCCTAAAAATAGGGCTAGTGTTCAAGAACACTTTGTATGTGGCATACTAATGAGTTTTTTATGAAATACATACAATAATATCTTAATCATGTCTGTATGTGCGTGCATAGTTCCATCCGATTTGTGAATGCGATATCTCTGGAACTTTTTAAGGGAATCTCATATTTTGTACAAACTTTGTCAAGGATGAACTGATTAGAATTTGGTTTTTAAAGTCACCTCACAAAACAAGTTTTTGAGCATAACTCAAGAATGATCATGCCCATATGCTAATTATGACAATTTCACACAAATGTCCAATAGAATAACATGATGAAGTGATGACATTTTGGACAGACCTTGGTGTACACTGTAACTCGACTGTTTGGCGACCGCAAGGCATTAATTCTTGTTATCGAAATAAAATGAAGATGTACTCTGTCCTTCCACAGGTACCTGCGTTGTTACTACTTTGCAGTCCGCAGTCTAATCAACATCGGTGGTCTTCCAGAGCCTATAACCACCTTTGAGATAACATTTCAGATGACCAACTTTTTTATTGGCGTCTTTGTGTTCTCTAGTTTGATTGGACAGGTAGGTTGTATATTCATAACTCTATCATATCACACCTCCTTATCTTCACAATGTATATTGTAATCAAACACGCTCCCTGTCCATCTGTCTTTCTTTCTCTCAGATGAGAGATGTCATAGGAGCAGCAACAGCAGGAAAGACATATTTCAGGGCATCTATGGATGGCTGTGTTGACTACATGAATACCTACGGGATCCCCAAATCTGTCCAGAACAGAATCCGGACCTGGTACAACTACACCTGGGCAGCTCAGGGCATGCTGGGTGAGTCTAAACAATTCTTAAGTCAGAAATGTATGAAAGAAAACCTACTGAGACACTTAAGCTCTCACATGATCCAGAATAATATCAAAATGACAAAGCAATTTTTCAGATATGTCAAGAATTTGCTTTTAAAAGCTTACTGTATGTTGAGCTATCTGTGTCCCCTCCAGACGAGTCTGAGCTGCTAGACAGCATGCCTCTGGTGATGAAAACCGCCATCGCTGTGGACATCAACCTGACAACCTTTCAGAAGATCGCACTGTTTCAGGTGAGTCACCATGTCCTCCTAATAATTTGAGAGAATTAAAGAAAATGTGATATGTGGAATTGAATACATGATATTGTCTCTTCCAGGGCTGTGACCAGCAGATGTTGGTGGACATGTTGCTGAGGCTCAAGTCAATTGTCTATCTACCTGGAGACTTTGTTGTGAAGAAAGTGAGTACATGTGTTTGTGTGTAAATGATAAACCTTGGCGATCATCATGAAGCAAATAAACAATAATATATTCAAGTTTTCATTATCTGAGTGTAATGATGACCTCTGAGTTCATGTTCTGCATCTTCCTCTGCAGGGGGACATCGGTAAAGAGATGTACGTCATCAAAAGTGGTGCGGTGCAGGTGGTGGGAGGACCCGACAACAGTATTGTGTTTGTCACACTGAAGGCTGGATGTGTGTTTGGAGAAATCAGGTTTGTCTGCGTTTAGTGATCTGTGACAACTAGAACATACAAAAACAAGAGCTGAAGAGAAATTCAACAAGACTTCATTTTCATCATCCAGTAAGTGTCTTGATAAGTATTGTACAAGGAGAATATATTTGCGTCAGTTAAATCTGGTACCGTTTTCTTGCCTTAAACAAATATAAACTGTAGTACGGCATAGTATACATAGATGGCTGTAGCAGTGCAGTCATATTGTACAGTCAATATAACCATCAGTCCCCAGCCGCATTTCCCAAGAGACCAATGTTATTTGAAATAGACACTCTGGATACATGGTATTTTGTTTGCCTCTGTCCTCATCACAGTTTACTACAGTCTGCCAAAGATGGAGGAAACAGGCGCACAGCTAACGTGAAAGCACATGGCTTTGCTAACCTTTTTGTCCTGGAGAAGAAAGATTTGTTTGATATCCTCATCCACTACCCAGAGTCTCAGAAAGTGTTGGCCAGGAAGGGAAGGTAAGTTATTTACAGTCATATTTGGTATGCAAAAGTTTCATTGTGGCCGTGGCTCCATTTTAACAAGTGATTTATCAGCACCAACCTCTAAAAACCTTGGTCAAATCTTTGTAATACTACATCAAATCCAAATGTGCCAATTCAATTCTGTAATGCAACCCATTAAGGATTGTGTCTGTGTGTGATTGTGAAGGAAACTTACCAAAGTCAAAGGCCCTCCACCTGCTAAAACCAATGAGGAGAAGCCGAAAGGTTTGGGATTCTTTGCACAAAAACCACCAACACCGAAACTAATTAAACTTATTGCCAATTTCCGCAAAGGAGCCATCAAGGTAAAGTCTTTACAGTGAGGCAGCATTCTTCATACAGACAACATGGGTAGTTTGATTTGGTTGTTGAAAAGTAGCCTTGCACATTTGTAAATGTTTAGAACATAGATAACTATTTATGATGGGGTAACCGGTACCAAACTTACAGGAGATACACTGCAGGTTTTACTCAAGACACAATGACATAATGCTTTCTTTTTTTGTCTTATGTCCACAGAAAAGTGATGGGTAGCAGAAATGAAAGTGGGATGTGTGATGAGTTCCACCACATCAAATCTGTATCATTTTGTATATTACACTTTTCATTGGCGACTGGAAGGCCCACAAGAAGACAGAAACGGGGCATCTGTAATTTGAATCTAATAATATTCACCTTGTAAATGTTTGTAGATTCCTCAATCATTTGATTTAACCTGATCGGTGCCAGTATCCAAATCTGATGGTTAACAATATGTTTCAAATTTGTGTTATTTTTGTATAAAACAATGTTAAGATGTTTACGGTGAAAGCAACACGTACTGTTAAGCGTCAACCTACTAATGTAAAACCTGAGGCATTGCCGGGTTAAAATGTGGTGCTGGAGATGAGCAAACATTAAAGCACTGTGTTTGAAACATACTTGTGACATAAAAATGGTTTATGTTTTTGTGGACAATACGATACTGGTTGCAACCTGCAAAGCTCAGAATAACAAGTTCTCTAGAAATCTGTGAGGCCAAAGAAATAGTAACAAACAGGAGACAGGAAACAATACTTTTAAAGATCAGTGTTATTTAAATTACAACACCAGAGCAGCCTGAAGCTTGTGACAGATATTTTAAGTCCACTTCAAAAAATAAAATGCACATAAAGCTATAGAAACATAATTTAAAAAAAACTAAAATGATGCACAACAAATACATTTGAAAAGAAATCCACACGTATGTAGAATAAGCTGAAAAAATAAGGCGTGTACACGGTTTTAGCTTCCTGCTCTCACGCACAAAACTGCAATTGGACATTTTCTCTCAATATGCAGACAGCTACGAACTAACATGACTGTATGTGACCTTTTGTCTGGATTTCAAACATTTTTTAAATCGTCATCTCCCTCCGACTGCTCTGTAATACTGTACATTTACAGAGTGGGCTCCTTGCAACTGTTTAATGAGTCTTGGCCAGTACTGTCCAGTATGTTGCACTGGGAGTCTCCCCAACACATGTGATGTGCATAAACGGTCCTCTAACTCTGGAGCTTCCAGAGGATTATCTGTCTGTCCTCTCCGCCTGTGATCACTGTGGAGCACAGCTCACTCATCCACATGGCTGTGACAGTGCCTGTGCAAAGACATCATTTTCATAATGAACATATTTTGCATCATAATAACTTACAAAACCCTACTTTATCATGTTGCAACGATGTGATGATTAAAATGGGTATTTACATGTAGTATTAGTAGCTAGAGAAATTGGTGCACTTAAAAAGCTGTGATATTGTTGCTGAATATAACAAACAAAACGTTCACATAGATGTTTAACCAGGTGAGATGTACCCGAATGCGCAGGGATCCTTCGGGTGACTGTATTGCTGAGCAGGTCCCACAGCAGGAGGTCTCCAGACTGTCCCCCACACAGCACAGAGTTCCCGTCCCAGCAGAAACACCTGGACCGACAGATGTTAAATCCTTTTGACTTGCAGCATCAGCGAGCACCATGAATACTACTTATTTTCAATGGCAAACACACACAAGCCAAGTCAAAGTTGTGGACTTGGCTTGGCTTGGACATGGAATACAAATTCTACCACTTGCACAGCAGAAAGTCAATTCAACACAACAGCATTTAGAAAACTAAAATATACCCGTTGCAGTTTACATCCTTTGAGACATTTGTGTGAAATTGTCACAATTCACATATATATTCTGTACTTGTGGCTGAAAATGTGTTTTGTGAGGAAAAGGTGAGCTTTGACTACCAGTTCATCCTTGAGTTCAAGTGGACATTTGAGCAAAGTTGGAAGAAATTCCCGTCAGTTATAGTTTTAAGAATGTAGAAGCTACTTTACCTAAATACCCATCAATAAGATATATATATATATATATATATATATAACTTTTGAACGGTTTGAAAGAGAGTAATTTTGAAAACGCCAGTCGAAGCCGGGTCGAATCACGGCCCTACTGGATGTATTCATCCACCATGATCGCTGCGCGCTTTCTCATGAGAGACCAAAACAAAGAGCATAGTATGCAGGTTTTTGCCCAAAAAAAC